CTTGGGTTTTGTGTGTGGTTATGACCAACATAAAGAAATTGTTTCATGGGAGATTATTCACTTCACTTGGTGCTACCTTACATTCATGTGGGGCCCATTATCTAGCAGGTTCAACATGGATGTGAGGGACTACAGAAATGAGATGGCTGTAGTGAAAAATTCCTTTAATTCATTTGGATACTACTCTTATCTTTAAGTTAAAGTAGCTTTATTTTGTCTTTTGTTGTTAGAATGAGAATTCAGCCATGTGGCTGCACGGGCCTGGATCGCGAACAATGTCTGCCGTCCCTGGCAGCACATATTACAGCTTCCAGGGGCAGAATCAGCAGCCTGGTGGATTTCGGCAAGGTCAGCAACCATCCCAGCATTTTGGGGCTCTTGGGTACCCAAATTATTATCATTCACAAACGGGGATGTCTTTGGAACATCAGCAGCAACAAAACTCAAGGGATGGGTCCCTAGGTGGTTCTCAAGGCCAACCTTCAAAGCAGGCTCAACAGTTATGGCAAAACAGCTACTAAAGCTCATAACTTCCCGCTTTTTCAGGGTCATGTAGTGAGTTTTGAAAGTGGCCAATCGAAGGCATTCCTGCCGTCGAATAATTAATTGTAATGATTTGTTGGTGGTCGAGAAAGAGGCCTTGACTGGCTACTGCCCTGTGCCATGAGGTTGTATTCTTACTTATCATCTTGATCTGGTTAACTTAGGAACACGTGTGCTAATCTGGGTTAGTGGACTGTTTTATTTTCCTTCTTCGGGTCTCTCGTTCTCCCCTGTTATAGTGAAAGTTACCTTTTGAATCTGCTGGACACAGTTGAATCTGTAGTTTCTCTAAATCTATTCCGATCACCTGACCATGTATTTGTAGTCATTTTGCAAGAGTGCTAGCAGCAGAAGCAGCAGCTTACTGCCCTTCTATTTTCTTTTTCGCTTAAATCAAGAACCATCATCTATTATTGGTCATGATGTTGCAGTATGCTGCGGGACTATCAAGACTGTCTGATTCCTCGTCTAATTGTTGCTTTGATCATTTGGACAAAAAGACTACTGTTCAAGGCTCTCATCCTTTTATAGGTGTTGAACCATCGAAGCTCCGGAAGATTTTTTTAAAATAAATTCAGCAAATATATAGTCTAGATGGAAAGTAATGCACCATCATGCTGTCAACAGAAGAATAATAATAATCTCATTGCGGCACTATTTTTAGCACCAAAGCAGTCCCAGGCAAGGCGGTGGAGGAGAGAGAAAAAGGCTGTGGAAAGATTTGTTTTTTTTCTTAGCTTTAGGGAGAGAGAAAAAGGCTGTGGAAAGATTTGATTTTTTTCTTAGCTTTAGCCTCAGATTTCTTTTCTATGCATCTTTATCCAAAGAGGATGAAAGAGGAATATTTTATTTTTATTGAAAATAAATTTTAACTCAAAAGATTTTACCTATTAATTAATAAAGAAAATGAGCAATAATCAAATGATTTATCTTCTAGTTTTTTCTTCTTTTTTTTTTTTACTATTTAAGTAAAAAATAATATCATTTTATTTATTTTATTTTTATTGAGAATAAATTTTAACTCAAAAGATTTTACCTATTAATTAATAAAGAAAATGAACAATAATCAAATGATTTATCTTCTAGTTTTTTCTTTTTATTATTTTTTTACTATTTAAATAAAAAATAATATTATTTTATTTAAAATACATCATTTCATTTAATGAAATGGATGTGGTTATGACCTTTACAGTTTTAATTTAGCAATTTGATAAAAATTATTCTCTGATTTTTAATTTCTTTTAATCGCATCTCTAATTAACTATATATTTTTAATTTTATATAATTTTGTCCTTGATAAACTTTAATATCAGCCTTGAATTTTAGTTTTTTTCACATTAGTCATTAGTATTAAATTTATACAAATTGACTCTCAATTGACTATTAAACTTTTAATTTTTTTCAATTTTACCCTTGATTTCAACCAATTAAGTTCCCATAATTTGATGTATTTTGCAAAATGGTCCTTAAATGTGATTTTCTTTAATTTAACCTCTAATTGACTCTAAAACTTAGATTTTCTTACAATTTCACATCTGATGTGAATCAATTGACTTTGTAAAAATTAATTTGATCCTCTAAAATTCTAATCTTCTAAATTAAACTTAAATTGAGCTCTTAAACTTATTTTTTCATCACTTAAATCTTTAATAAAATTAATTTGACCCATTTAAAGTATAATTAAGCCCTTATATCTAATAAAATCCTTTAATTAGACTCAAATTGATTCTTAAAAATAATTAAATTCTTAATTAGGCTCATGATTAAATCAATTTGACTTATTAAAATTTCAATTATATCCTTGAACTTAATTTTTATACAAATTCATCCAAAAATCATTTAATTTCACCTTAAATCGCTATTGTTTCTCTAGTTTTGGTATAAAGATGTACAATTAGACTTCTAATTTACCTAAAATTTAAGCTTGATTTTTCTGTATATTTGAAATCTTTCTTGGCCTACTTTTGTAAAAACATCAGTCTTCTTGCTATTATTATTTTTTTTTAAAAAAGGTGAAATTTTGGAGAATAACCCAAAAATAATTTATAACAATAACCACTTAATTTTGTATTTTTGTAAATTTTAGCCATAATTACATATTCTAGCTAGATTCATATAATCCATTTAGATCCGGCTAAAAGCCATAGCCAAATATATTTTTTTAAAGAATCATGAGAGAAATAATTTTTTAGAGGGAAATGATTTTGCATATAAAATCAATTAAAAGATAACATCAATAACAATTAAAATATAAAATCAACATATCTAATTGTCTAATGATAACTCTAATACCATTATTGGATTCCTTGAAACATATATAGGTACTGGAAATGATAAATTTAATTTTTTTTAAGAAGTTCTAAATCTCATTAGACAAATCTAAAGTTGTTTAGGATTTATATGATGATTATCTAAAAATTAGATATTTTTTTCAGCTTTAAATAATTATTTCAAGGCTGAGTTATTGCAAACCTTAAGATATCTAAATGGTTGGTCTCTAATAGTATAAAGTATAAAGGGATTTCTATGTCTTTGAATATTATCATTTTTTTTCTTTTATGTTTTTAAATATTCTATAACTTATATAGTTTTTGTATTAAAAATAAGAGGTATTATATTCTATTTATAGAGAGACATGAAAACCTATAAATAGCAAAATATCAATTTAATATCACACATTTTTTTAAAAAGTTTTAGAAATTTATTCAATCAAGTCCCTTTATAAATTGCACTTTAATCCTCAATTTTTAAAACTTATTTATAATTAAGTCACACTTGATTAATCATCCTATTTGAATTTCTAGTTGATGATTCTTATGTGTGCGATTTATTAGATTCCCTGATAAGCCGACTCAAATATAAATTACAATTCTAAATAAAATAAAATAAAATAATTTATTATCAATTCAATAATTAACTTATTTATATTTGAAGATTAAGTAAAATGTTTAGGTACCTGTCATGATTCCAAAAATATTAGAAATATCATAAGTAATTTGTCTTAACCTTTCATTGACTAATTTCTTAGTGTAATTATTATCTTTTCATCAACAGTGTTTTGACTTAGATATTATAACATAAAGTGTGTTTATTATGTCAAATTATGTTTGTTTTTAACACTATAGTCATTGATTATTTGAATAAGATTTAAAGCTTTTTTTAAATCTCATTTCACATTATGCAAGGATTTACAATCATTGTTATTTGAGAATAGATGAAATATGTTTTTTTTTATATAATTTATCTAGAGTGATGAATCTTCTTTTAATTACTCAAATACTTTTATATAGTTCATATTATATTAAATATATGCTCGTTTATTACTCTTAATTAGAACAAGGTGTAATATAATTAAAGCATATCATTCTCTATATAAGATAACTTAAAAATATCAAGTCTAAGGATTATTTATATAAATATCACATGAGTCTTTTCTTAAACACAAGTAATTTTTTTCCAGATGAAATCCTCATGTAGATCAATTCAATGTACATGTCATGTGTCAAGTACTTACATATTAGTAATTGATATTCCTTATACATCAAATTATAAGAATAATTACTTCTTGTCATAAAAAATATATAATATGTATTAATTTCAAAAACTTTAATTAATATTCAATTTTAATACAACATTGATAAGAATCAGTTAAAAACAATGCTTTGATGCAATAAGATTCCTATAATTATAACAATTTTATAATTTTCATTATAAAACATTTTTGTTCTATGTATTTTATCTATACTTTATATTTATTAATTAAATATTAAATTTAATAGTTACATATTTAATGAATATTAAAAATAAATATTTTTTTATTAAAATCCAATATATTTATATAAATGAAATTAATATTACGAATAAATAACCAATTCATTAATAATAAAACTCTTAAAAAACAGCAAAATTACATATTAAAACATTAAATACTCGATATCAAAAGTTAAAATTAAAAACAATAAATCAAATTAAAAATATTATTAAAAACTCTAACTCCAAAACGAAATCAACACAACAAATTAAAAAACATATAAGAATATTTGAAAATACGATGCAAGTCAAAACATATAAGAATATTTGAAAATACGATTCAAGTCATATTTTTTAAAAAATTAATTTTTTTATTAAATATTAATTTTTTGATATATCATATTTTTTAAAAAATTAATTTTTTTATCAAACATTAATTTTTTTATATATTTAAACCATTTTAATATATTAATTTTAAAATAAAAAATAATATTTAAAAATAAAACATATTTTAAAAAATAACTCAAATTACAACCACCATCGATGCAATAAAATATATTTTAAAAAATAACTACAACCACACCGTAAAATTACAACCAACATCCATGCTCTACATAACAATTAAAAAAAACATCAACACAGCACATTAATTATTCGTTAATAGCATAGTTATAATTATAATATTATAATTATACTATAAATAACGAATGAGGGATAGCGTCCCAGTTCTTTCCTTCTCTGCTCTTCTCGCTCCCCAAGACCCAGGTGCCTTTAAAAACACTCTCTCCTCGGAGAGCGTCTCTTTTTATCATTCGGTAATAACTTTTGGAGATACAATTTCAGGCGCCATTAGTAAGCAACTCTGTTTGATATCCTATCTGGAGATCATCATGGAAGGTACCAGGTCCCTCTTAACCCATTTTTGGTTCTCTGTCTTTCGTCGTTCTAATCTTATTTAATTTAATTTTCGCCGCCTTTTTAAGAACGACCCAATTGTTTATTTCCTGTTAATTTCTGTCCTGTTCCTTGTTCATGGGAACTTCAAAGGTTCTAGATTTGAAACAAAGCGAGCATAGATGGTGGTAATTAGCTTATTCAATATGGTTATCTGTTAAGTGTTTTTGGTATCTGTGGACTGGGTGGTGAATGCCCCTGTACCGACACTAGTTAAAAGGCAATTTTGTTTGGATAATCAATGTCATAGGTGGGAGATCAAGTAAACTGAGGATATAACAGTATAATTTCTTAAACAAGAGAGCCAAGTAGAGGATACTTTTGACAATTCTTCTTTCACCTTTATATCATAGCAAACATTGTTTCTCCCCTGTACTTTTTTTTCAAATAAATTTATTATGTGAAGATGATTTTTTTTCTTCTTACAGCTCCAGTACTGAAATGAACACGATGTGTAGGGGGTCACGTGGGAGTGTCATCAAATAGAAACCCGGTTTTCAAACTTGTAACTGTTTTGTACCAGCAGAGGTGTGTCATCACTTGTGTCCAATTTAGTGCTTGAGTCAAATGCAAACCAGTGTTTTTTCTTAAAAAAAAACTTTATTCCGTGACTTGGATCTTCTTCGACTTGTTTATCTCTCAAAACACAAAAGAGAAATGAAGAAACTCCATTCTATTTCAACCAAGCCCATAGCCAAGGGTGGCATTTCAGTGGCTTAAGCTTGCAATCTAAGAGGAAGCGAAATTTCTCAAATCTCTTGCAAGCAATTTTCAATTTTTTGTATCCTTTCTTCATTATCTATTTATTTGATTGATTATATTATATACAGGGGGTTGAACTATCAGGTCTTACAAATGCCTCTCAACAAAGTCATTTCATTCCACTCGAACCATTGATTTAAGAGATCAGTTTTGACAAAGGCATTTAAATGGTTGAAGTTCATACAGATTGAATGAATTAGTGGCCTTCTATATAACCTCAGAAAATTTTTAGAACCAGAATTTAAACAAAAAGAGGAGTGTATCTCGGTTGTGTATACATCTATATCATTCTCTCTCTCTCTCTCTACAAAAATGTATATATTAGTAACTATTAATACTTTTATTCCATTACACTTTCGTCCACCTTTACCTTGTCTGGATGGTGCTTTTAGATTTCATTTGCTCTTTTCCCTGTTGTCTTTGGTGGGTGGAGAGAACAAGGGAGTTAAGTAAATTTTCTTGTATAACGTCAGTCTCATACAGTTATTGAATAAGAAATGCATGTTTAGTGTTTGATATGGCAGCATAATACATGCTATTCATAAGATCCTCATGTGGGATTCTTTAGTGAAGATCATCCTACTTTGTGCAATATTTGAAGCATGTGGTTAAATATTAGATTGCTTTTAAGAATTTTATTTTGGCCACCCTTAGCAGTTGCTGCTTATGGCATAGTATTAGGACACAACCACTTGCATGTTGGATATGGGTTATTCTTGTTAATTGAAACAGTTTTGCTTCCTATGATAGATTTGGCTGCAAAGAAGTGTGTGCCATGCAACTCAAAGGATCTACAAGCCATGACTAAAGAACGTGCAAATGACCTTCTATTGAAGGTTTGCATTTTGATTTGTGTTCTTGTTCATTTTTTCATGCAACCTCTTTTTTCAAGGTGGTATTTTTTAGGTTGCTGGGTGGAATTTGGTGAATGAAATTGGTATACTAAAGCTGAATTGTTCATGGAAAGTAAAGAGTTTCACTAAAGGGCTGGAACTATTCAAGCTTGTTGGGAATGTTGCTGAAGCAGAAGGTATGCTCTTTTTGCTGGTGGATCTCACTGTTGTCTGATATATGAAATGACAATGTTCAATTATTTACTAGAAATTTTGAGCTTTTTACTTAGTCGAGTAACAGTATATGCAAATGCACGTCACCATCCGGATCTTCATCTGGTTGGATGGAACAATATAACAATCGAGATATGGACTCATGCAATGGGTGAGAACTTTGTGTCAAATCACATGGCCTCTCTTTTCAAATTTATTTTTCTATATATTTACGTGCAAGTGACAATTCCAATGCCCTCTACTCTCTTATCGCTGAAGCTATGTTCTGAGAACACCTTCCTTTGTCCCTTAGTTGTAAAGAAATGTTCTATTTACACCTCTTTCCCCACTTTCCCTTTGCTTCGCGGGTTCAGTAATAATGTAAGCCATGAAATTAAGTAAGATGGTTGAAGCTTAAATACGAGTATAACTATGAGTATGTTGCTTTGCCAGATTTCTTTCTTCTCTAATTTCTTTCAACTAATGATGTTATATGAATTGGGAGAGGGGATATTATGCTTATGAAGTGAAGTGCTTGGACAAATGGGAAAGGGCCATTCTGCCAGTTAGTAGGAGTTTAGCCATATTTTCTGATTTTCATTTGATCTTGAAAGTAGGTGCCTGAACAAAGCTGAAAAAGGTTATGCAGAGTAGCTACTCATTTATTAAAGTAGTTTGCCTTTTGTGTCATATTTCTGATTGGCATGCATCCAAAAACGAATCTGATTTTATTCAAAGCAGGGAAACCTCACTTGACTCTGAACTTCTGATGGTAGAATCTAGTGGAGTGAAATAAAGAATCATCTGTGGGAGTCGTCAGAAATTATGCTGAAATTGACCCCGCAAAGTCCATTCTTAAAATTTTTTTATTTGTAATTAATAATATTGGTCTTATCATGATCCATGCTTTCACAGGTGGACTAACGGAAAATGACTTCATACTTGCTGCTAGGATAAATGGGCTTAACCTGCACCACCTACTGAGGAAGAAGGCTGCTGCTTGAGTTGCAAGTACAATTAGACTTCACGTTTTTGGTTAATAGTCTTATCCAAAGGTACGAGGAAAGACTCTTTTTTTTCCTCCAGTTTGTTAGATATTCCAAGTTTTGACTTGAGTTCTGCATAAATGGGTGACTTGGAGGCTGTGCAAACATATATCTTGGTAGTTGTAACATACACTGGTTTTAAAGATGTGCATTGAGAGTTGTGAAAGAGGTTTTCCAGTAGGATTCATCGTGCTTTTGGTTTGCAGGGATGTCTTTAAGCATCCACCGTTTTCCAATGGGATCTTCTCTTTTAACTTTGGCAACTTCTTCCACCCACCACCTCACCACAAAGCACCCACTGTGGTTAATAAACTAGGTCCAAAATTCAAATCCTACCTTAAGTAATTTAGTTTTTTCTTATTTTTTTCATAGTCAACCTTTTGACTCAGCTACGTCCTGTCTAGGTTTGTTTGAGTTGATTGTGTAAATAAGGTTTTCATTTGGTTGACCAGGTATGATCAGTTCAATATTCTGATTGGTTTAGTTACAAATGTGGCTCTGGTTGGATCTTGGGTCATCGGGTTTATAGGTCAATCTGGCCAGATTTGATAAATATCCTTATCACTTCACTATTTTTTTTTCATACTAAATCTTAATAAATTAATTTTATTAAGAAATTATTTGCATCAAATAGTTTATTTATATGCTTATTGTGCTTTTACCGATATTAAATATTTCAGAGCCAGTTACATTTTGAAGACATCACACATCAATCCCCTTTGCCCCCCCAGCTGGTATGTTCTCTGTATGTTTTTTTTTTATTCGTTTGTTGGGTTTTCTCTTTTTAGATTCACTAAAAGATCCACGAAGAAGTGGAGCAAATCCAACAAAAATCCATGGAGGTGGAGTCATTGAATTTTTTTGCTTGGAAAAGACGACAATGATGCACGACAAATTTGGTTCAATAGACATGATAATGCTGTCCAGTTCTCTGTTGTATTCTGCAATTCGTTGGAGAAGACGATTGAAAGTCCAAGGAAATAGAAAGAAGGATGCGCTGCATGAAAAATCAATGTATGCTAAATGGTTAAAAACATGTATACATAAGCTCATTATGTACTTTTTTGTATACAGTAAAAATTATTTGAGTAATCGATGAAACTACAGCTCGTGACGTGTTTCTTTTCATTGTTGGTATTTAAGGTTTTATTTGTTTTTGTATTTTGAAAATATTTTTAAAAAAATTTAATTTTTTTTATTAATTTTAAATTAATATTTTTTTAGTGTTTTCAAATCATTTTAATGTGCTGATATCAAAAATAATTTTTAAAAACTAAAAAAAAATTATTAACATATATTTTAGCATGAAAAGTTATTTGAGAAGTAATCACAACCATCCTTATAAATAAGCTTTTCATGGCAGTAAAAGTTCATAATTAGTATATATTGTGAAATTACTGTGCAACTGACTTTATTTATATTTTTTTATTTGGATTTTTTTATATTTAGATTAAAATTTTTAATTTAATTAATATTTTATTATTTATAAATTATAATATTAGATAAATTTTATTAGATAGAGTTTTGTATGCTAGAAAAAGATGGATTGGACATGACAATTTTGTTTTGTAAAGTTTAGTGTATATTTGATACAAAAATCAATTATTGTTTAGTCTGAGGGTGTTCTAGCGTAGAAATTTTTGTCCCATTAAAAGAGATTGGACAAACTTGTTTAATTCTTTACATAAAAGTTAATTCGGGTTTATTCGAGTTAATGTAAAAATAAAAATAGTTGTTACTATAGTTTTGAAATTCGACTAGAGAGATGACTTGTGACAAGGCCAATGATAAACCAAGAAGATCAAATAGAGTATTTATCAAGAATCCAAGATATGAGGGTTGAGTAGGAATCAGTTTGCATGCGATATCAGCGTGTGACCTGGAATTATAACTTAAGATTTACATTAGTTTTTATTACTGTTATTTTCCCTAAGAATTGATTAATAAGTTAGAAAAAATAATTCCATAAATGATGACTATTTTACTGTTAGCTAGCCGTTTCACTCATTTTATTTAGGGAAGTAGTTTAGCTTTTTTTTGTATGTAAACTCTGGTTTCAGTAAACAAGCAACAAAAAGAATTACAATGTTTATTCTCACCTTAAGTATAATATATTTTATACTTTTCTTTAATAGCTTTGATTGAGAGCTATCATTGATATTAGAGCCATTACATTATAACTACCAATAAAGAAAGAATTGAGAATTTAAAAGTAGCTCTTGGGAGACTTCAAGCTAATTTCAACAAAATGAAGCTGGGTGTTACTAATAAACTACAATAGCTAGAGACTGCTATTAGCAAGATATCTGAAGTTTTGCTTACAAGGCAAGAACCGTCCTCTAGCAATGTCAACGAACACAATAAAAAATCCTTCAATGTGTGTTCTCATGAAAACATAGAAGGGGTCGCCCAATGTTTTTCTCTAAATTGACTAAGCTTGAATTTTCCAAGTATTTTGGTAATGACTCAACTGAATGGTTCACGTGTGTCGATCAATTCTTTGAATACCAGGGTACTTTGGAAACATAAAATGTGTCATTGGCTTTTTTTTTTTCATATGGAAGGAGAAGCAAATCAATGGTGACAATGGTTATGCAAGGCTTATCATAAGAAAAGAAAGGAGGTGTCATGGGACATTTTTGTAGAAGAATTATGGTCTCATTTTGGTCCAATGGATTGTGAAGATTTTGATGAGTTTTTATAAAAAATAAGACAAGTGGGATCTTTACGTGAATACCAAAAGAAATTTGAGAGGTTGGGAAACAGAGTGCAAGGGTGGACTCCAAAGGCATTAGTGGGCACCTTTATAGGAGGTCTTAATCTTGAAATTGCAGATGGAATTCAAATGTTTAAGCCAAAATCCTTGAAAAAAGCTATCAGTTTGGCGAGGATGAGAGATGAGTAGTTGAAACGTCAAGAGAAGACTAATCGTTCATTTAATAGGACCACGAATGTCTTTTCATCATAAAAAAAAGTCTGTCTCACCAATGAAAAGACTAACTTGGTCTGAGATGCAAAGCAAAAGTGCTTAGGTCCTTTGTTTTTAATTGTAATGAGAGGTTTGTACTAGGGTACAAATGCAAAGGATTGCAGTTAATGTTTCTAAAAAGCAATTATGAACAATAAGATATAGTATATGAACTTGAACCTTGAGGACAAGGTTTTGCTTAAAGATAGGGGTAATGATAAACAAAAAAGATCAAATAAAGTGCCTATCAAGAATCCAAGATACAAGAGTTAAGTAGGGATCAGTTTGCATGTGACATCAAGGTGTGACCTGCAAATTATGACTTAAGATTTGCATTAGTTGTTATTGTTGTTATTTTGCCTAAAAATCCAACAATAAGTTAGAAAGAATAATTCCATTAATGATGGTTATTTTACTGTCAACTAGTCATTCCACTCCTTTTATTTAGAAAAGTAGTTGAGTTTTTTTTATATATATATTTAAACTCTTTTTTTATATATATATATATATATTTAAACTTTGGTTTCAGTAAGCAAACAACAAAAAGAATTACAAGGTTTGTACTCACCTCGAGCATAGTATATTTTACACTTTTTTTTAATAACTTTGATTGAGACCTATTAGCCAAGGTTACAAATTGGGTTCAACATTGACACTAGTCAATAAAAAAGTAAAAGTAATTATTATTATAGTTTTAAAACTTGATTAGAGGGTTGTCCTAGAATAAGACTCAGGTCATGAGTTATGCTGATTATTGAGCTATGTCAATAAGATGATAAAAATAATTATTATCATAGTCTTAAAAGATTATATTAAAGTTTCTATATATACAAATATTGAAGTATTGTCAGTCATAGACGATAATAAGATCGAGTTTGAAGAAAAATAATATGTTAAAGACTATAAATGGATTTGATAAAAATAAAAAATAAAATATTAAAATGAATTTTTCTTTACCATGCACAGTTCATAAATTAAATTTCAAAGTTCAGTTCATAAATTAAATTTCAAAGCTCAAAAATAAAAAGCATGCTATTTTATAAATATATTGGCTACAACACTATATTTTAAGTATTTATTCCTTTGAAAGAGAAAAACTCAATTTTTAATAAATAACTCGAAGGCAAGTTTTTTGAAAATAGAGACTATTAACATGGGGGAATTTCTTCAATATTCTTGGGATACTAATTTTTATTATATTATTTCATTAATATTTAAGAGTTTTAAGTTGTAAAGGGTTTTAAAAAAATCTAAAACACATTTTGATAAATCAAGTATAACTTTTAATATAATTATTAGATGGAGCTAAATTTTAACAAAAGATTTTAAAGATCTTATTTTATATTGAGTTAAAATCTTGTAATAATCAAGGATAAAAAGTAATTTTTAAATAAAACTGAAAAATTACTATACAAGATTATCGTTATGTTTTTTTGTTCTATTCAATTAAGATTTTTTTATTTAATTAATATTTTTTTATTTAAAAATTTTAATATTAGATAAATTTTAATTAGAAATTTTTTTTAATAAAAAGATCATAGATCAGACTTAAAAAAATAATAATAAAGAATTCATTTTATAGCTAACGTCTATAACCTTAAAAGCTTGAAAATGCTCACTTCGACCCATGCAACACGGGGTCAAAGGGCGGCATAAAACATTTGTTTGATTTGTTGATTTACTGAACATTTCAACTGGATGGCATACAACGAATCCAAAGACAAACACGACGCCACCACCTTCACTCGCTCATATTCCAACAGAATCTGTACCGCCAGCCCATTTTCCGTTCTATTATTTCTACAACGCCTAGGTACCCTTTGCTCTGATGATAAAAATAATTATTATCATAGTCTTGAAAATAAAATTATATTATCCATGTTAGTGCCCACGACCATGCTTGATTCATTGCTAGGGCAAAGGGCTCCCATCTTCCATGTGAAGTAAGGAGATCTAATCTTGAAAAGGGTTGTCTGTTGTGTCCCCTGATCAATCAGCTGACAAGATCTGACAATGATACCTTAATAATTAACAGAGAAAGACCCAGCTTACTGTCTGAAGTCTGAACAGGCAAACCATTTTCTCATAATCCAGACAGTACAGTCAACAGTTCCAACCACTAAACAGTTACTAAATAACTCCCAATCCATTTGAATTAGCAAATGGTTAATGAAACAGTAATCTGTCGCCAAGAACGTTGACGAACAAAGTATGAATGGCAAATCGATTAAGCAAACTAGTGGCGATGTGTTTGTTAAGAAATGACTGGACGGAACAATTTATGCTCTGCATGTTTGTTAAGAAATCGATTCAGCATTTACGCCACTCTTGAAGAACGTGAAACATGGCACCAGAATTAGCAGAAGTGCACAGTGGATACTTCCTTTATTTAGGCACACCCTCATGATATGCTTTTTGTTCCTGGTTGTACATTTGCCATGCAAGATGGCTCTAATGAATTCATTCTCAAGTGCAAGCCCCTTCAAGACCAGAGAAACCAAATCAATTATGGTTGTGGAAACAATGATATAATCTTTGATCACACAAGCAAGGCGTTTTTGGGAGAGTGAATTACTTAATTCTGAAGAAGGTATTGCATGGTAAGAACCAGAGAAATGTAGTTGCAGCGAACTCGGCTATTATGACTATCATTCCTGAGAGTTAGAGTTGATCATATCATCTCATTTTTTCAAAACGAAATCAAGGATGTTTCACATAGAGCAACATGATTTGAACAGAAATAATGAAGAAAATAACTATTTGTAATCTCTCACATTTGAATGCAGCACTGATATCAATAAAAGGGATTGAACAGAGGCTTATTGTTACTATAAATTGGCGACAAAATTGGAAGAGACAAAAACTTTATTCTTCCCTGGGATAATGTCAAGAGCAAGACACGTCCTATAGACGAAGGAAAGAATTTCAGGGCTACATTGATCAAAATCAGTTTTGGATATTAGATCCAAAAACATTTCTTCCACCATGGGCCAGTTCATTTCAAACAAATATTACAAAAATGACATTCATATTAGCTTCCAATTTTCGGGTCAAACCATAGCTACATTATTCAAGTGCAATGCAATCAGGCTGCATCCTAATTTAGATATTCCTAACTATCTAGACTTTCACACATGAGCTAGAGTAAAGCTAGCAATAAGCAAGTTACCTCTAGTGATAAATCTGCTCCACATTTCTACCCAGGCTTTTGCAAGAGTGCAGTCAAGTAAACCTCCCCATTCTTCAAGCTACTAGAATCAGTTTTATTCCCGACTGCCCACTTTACTTTCTTGTAACCCAACTTCCCAATCAAAGGTCCAAAAACCTTATCAAGATCTACTCGTTTGCTAAAGAAGTGATCAAACCACAAGTAGCCACCACCCCTCAACACTCTATCAACATCGTAGAACAAAAACTCCATTATTGTCAAAGGCATCCACCTATTCACTGCGCGTCCACATCTGACCAGATCCACCACTCCATCAAAAACTGGCAACCTGTGCTGCAATGGCACATGAAGTGGCACTAAGCCTCTCATTGCCACCACTTCATTATTGGGCACATTGAAATTCATTGTTGTAGTGACAACAGTCACATTGTACTGCTTCATTCTAGCTGCAAAAGTACCAGTAGCACCACCAATATCAATACCAAGTCTAATAACAGAATTGGCTGATTTTGCTACTTGTAGCAACTGCGGGATTGGGAGATCCAACTCAGTCTTATAGGTCATGAACTTGGAGATCTCATTATTTAGATCAAAACCAAGACTTGGGTTTTGCTTAGCTAGGCAAGAAAATGACCTGCAAGTAGGATACTTGTTCCATATGACATTGGAGTCGAGAAAAGAAGAAGGGAAAGGGTTATGAGGTAGAGAAGACGGTGGTTTTGGTGGGGTTTTGGAGAAGCATCGACGGCGAGGGAGAGGGTGGCAGCCATGGAGGATTAAGGACTCACCGAGAAGATCAGAGTCAAGAGGGCAAAGAGAATAAGGAGTGTAGGCCATGTACTTGTGTAGAAGATCAGGGTGGTTATGGCAAGAAGAAGCTATAGGTGAGAGGTGTGAATAAAGGAGGAGATCTTGAGGGATGGAGGGTTTGGTAGTGGTGGGAGATGGGGTAGTGGAAGGTGGCTGGTGGCGCGTGAGGTGGCTGATGGTGGTGCGTATGGTGTTGAGTTGGTGGAGAAGGTGGTCAGGTACTGGTTGTTGAGATGGGGGCTTGGGAGATTGAACGGTGGAGGAAAGATGGTAGAGGGAAAGGATGTTGGTGGCCACCATGGCTAGGACAAGTACTAAGTTCAAGCCCATGGTGAAACCCATGATCCTGCCTAGCTGCTCCTATGCCTTTGTGTGTTCTTGGTCGCACTTTGCTGCTGAAGTTAAAGTCGTTGACTGAGTTACTGACCAGCAAGCCAAGTGGCAACAAGTAGAGATGATCTATTGCTTGCGTGTGATGGGTGGGAGATAAGCAAGGATGTGTTTGGCTTGTGATGATCAGATCTGTGGGCCCTAATGAGAATCTGCATATTCTTGTGTCCTGAAAATAGTTGGGGACTGAAGGAAAATTGGAGGGATGCTTTTGCTTTTTCCCGTGAGGGAACTATTTTTAATTTTTTTATATGTCTAAGCATTTTTATATATCCTGAAAAATATTTTAGGTGCATTTAAAAATATAATTTTTAAAGTATTTTTTATTTTAAAATATATTAAAATAATAATTTTTTTAAAAAATTATTTTTAATATTAATACATTAAAATAATATAAAAAATACTAAACACATCTTTAAAGGGATAACATGTCCAAGCATCATCAATACATGTGAATTTTAACCTGCTTTTCAATATATTTTAAATTATTAATTTAATATATATATATATATATATATATTTATGATTCTCATATGTTAATATTAAAATAAAAACATAAAAAATTATTTTAATAAATTTTTAATTAAATAATATTTTTATAAAATCACTTTGTACCATGTTGCTAAACACAATAATAATTTTTATAACAATTTGAAAAACATGAGTTAAAGAAATAAGAAAGAATCCTTTAAAATACTAAATTCAATTTTTTTTTTAAAATTGTTCTTGATTATATGGAAAAGTAAGATATAATCTGATATAGATTATAATAGTATTTTATAATTTTTTTAATTTGTTTAATTATTAGATTTTTTTATTTGATCTTTTCATTTTAATTTTATTTGAGATTTAATTTAATAATTTATTTTAACTTACTTGATATAAAATTCTCGTAACATAAAGAAAGAATCATCCCATAGCTTGATTTAGCAAAATAGAATAAGATTTATTAATCTATGACTATTAAGCTTTACATGCTGTTTTTTTTTTTTTTAATCCTAGATATTGAATTCAATTCTAAGAATAAAATCAATTTCTTTTAAGGTTATTGATTTGAATTCAAATCATACAAATAACAGTAATTAAAAATACTATTATAAGAATAACCCTCAAACTTGTATATAAAACTCAACACATAGTTTACTGAAACCCCAACAATAGCAAGACACCAGCAAAGAAAAATGCAGGAGAAAACATAAGTTTCAACGAGAGAGAGACAGAAACAGATTAGTCCAGTCTGCCACAATTAGACTTGAACTGTCCTTTTCTGCTACAGCACTCTTTCCCTCAAGAACACCATAGAACTTCAATCCATCGGCTGCTAAATCCCCAGCAAGAGAAGAATATAACAAACAGAATATTAGTAATTCTGAACCCCTTATGTATTTATCCATAAAATCACTAAGAAAATGGATTAATAAAAGCAAGAAAAAGTGAGGAAAAGTAATATACAAGTAGATGAAACATTGAAAAGAAGTAAGGGAAGTTTCGAGCAGCTAACGATTAGTGAGATGGTCTTCAAGAGGGATGGTCTTCTTGAAGAGGGTTTTGAGAGTCAAATATGTTTTGATTCTTCTTTTGTTTGTTTTCGGATGGAGCTTGCTAGCTTTTGAAGATGACGATGAGTTCCACTCCGTTTGTTTAAGCTCCTTGTTGAAGTCATGATACTTCACATGACATTTAAAGAACATCACTATACAAAATTTGAATCTACATCACCGTGGAATTCATGAAGTAACCTTTCTTTCTTGGTTTATTGAAGGTGGAATTCCAAGAACTTGTATATTTTTTTTTTAAAAAAATTATTTATAATAAGGTATATTTAAATTACTATTATTATTGATTTTTAACCCGTGATATTTATGTGTGTAAATTATAAAATAATTTAATTTATTATTAATTAAATAATTAATTAATTTATATTAAAAAAATCTTATTATAATAAGTCAAATATTTAAAAAAATTATAAATTGTTGGTCTTAACTTTTTAATGATTAGTTTGTTAGTATAATTATTATTTCTTCATTAAAAATATTCTAATTTAGACATTACACTATTAAGTATGTCTCTTTTGTTTTTTTTTTTGTTCTCAACACTACAATTATTCATTATCTAAATAAAATTTGAATCTCCTATCAAATCTTTTTTCATTTAGTCAATGATTTTTTCATTATCTAAATAAAATTTGAATCTCCTTTCAAATCTTTTTTCATTTAGTCAATGCTTTTACAATCAATATTATTTAAAAATAAATTAAATATATATTTTAATTCATCTAAGTGATGAATCTTGTCTTCATTACTTAAATACTTTTATATAATTTATATTATATCTAATATCTGTTCATTTGTTATCATTGATTAAAATAATGTATAGTCATAATCAAAGCATAAAACTCTTTATATAAGATAATATGGTGATCCCAAGTCTAAAAATCATTTACACAACTATCACATGAATTTTTTTTATAAATATAAATAATTTTTTTATATGAAGTTATCTTACATATCGGTTCAGTATATATATCTTTTGATAAACGTTTGCATATTAGTTACTAATATTTCTCGTATCTTAATTTATAAAAACAATAATTTCATTTTATAATACACACACGCACACTGATCTTAACAACTCTAATTAATATTCAATTTTAATAAAATATTAACCAAAAACATTTAACAACAATATTTTAAAACAATAAAAATCTTATAATTATAATAATTTTATAATTTCTTATATAAATTTTTTTCATAAACTTTATTATCACTGTGTATTCATTTATTAAATATTAAATTTAGTAATAAATTATAAATAAATATAATAAATATTTTTTATACCAATAAAACACTAGTAAGGACTTGGAGAAAGCACTCGCCCATAATTATAAAAATTCTCTTTGCAGGAGGAGCAAAGAAAAGCATTACAAGCCGAGACAGATTTACAATCTTCAGCAATAATCCAACTTTCTGCATCACTCCAATCAATCAATGGCATGCTTCAAATGCTTTTGTTTTGCTATTTCATTGTCTCCTTTAATTTCCCTCTAATGTTTTCGGTTTTATTTTTCTGTTGGCTTAATTCTTAGATACTCAATTTAGATTATGAACGCGTAATTTTCATACAAGGAGGTAATATATGAACTGATCTCATGTGGGGTTCCATTATTTAGGCCAAATACACTTCAAAGTTGGGGTCCTTTTTAGTTGCCAAAAATCAAAGGACCTTTTTTTTTTTTTTTCCTGCTCAAGTCTTCTTCTTGTTGTTGTTAAGTATAGGCTGATCCTAAGTTAGAAGCAATTAGACAAAGAAGAATGCGCGAGCTTATGGCTCAACGAAGAATGGTAATCGTGACTTTTTATTATCATTGTTATTACCTTAGTTTTCTTTTAATTTGTATGCATAAAGTATTTTTGGCATTTAAAAAGATTATTTGCTTTTATGATGATTGCATTGTTGAAAGTATTAGGATTTGTTATTAATGATAGTTGCACCTAGAAAATAGGGTTACCATTATCAAAAAGCTACAATGGTGGTTGCACCACCATTGACAAAAATGGTGCAACTCATGTGTTGCCACCATGAGTGCCACAAATCATGTCATGATTTGTGGATCTTGTCTTACCATTGATGTTTATAAATAAATGTATTGTTTGAGAGCAAAATGAGAGAGAAAAAGTGTTAAGAGTGAAGAGAGAAAGAAAGCTACCAAGGGCAGCAGCTCTGTTGCCATTGCAGCAGTAAGCTGGGAGTTGAGTGTGAGTGGGTGTAATCCCTCTCCTCCCTGTATTTGTTCTGTGTTCTTTCTATATCTCTAATAATATCGATTTGTTGTTGTTGTTGTTGTTGTTGTCATCTATAATTTATACACTTAACCTCCTTGTGGTTCGACCCCGGTCTTGCCGGGTTATTTATTACTTCGACACTCCTGCACTTGGGAGAAGACATCAATCTTTTAGTCGTGTCAATTTTGCTTAGAAATAGAAGTTGCCAAAATTATGTTTTGACCATACCACTGTGTAGAGGAGGAAGAGACGAAGCCACTATTGAAAACCGCGTCGAAATTGGACGTCGGAAATGTCCTCACGCGCCAGCGGGGTGGTTGGCCACACTCGCAGACGCGCGCTACGCGTCACATGCGTCTTCTTCGTTCGAATGAGTTGACCTGACCTGAATACCAAACGACTCGACCCACGTGCTAGATCCGAATGATGATGACATCATCATGACATCACCATTGTGTCAGCATGCACAGGTGGCATGCTATGTTAGCAACTAGTCAGCACTGTGGGACCTATATGTTACATCAACAGCTGTGAGCTGAGAATGAGCCGAGCCGTGAGCCGAGAGAAAGGATCCAGTGTATCTAATTATACGTGAAACTGGATCTGAGATTGAATCTGGACCACTAATGAGGCTAGAATTGTTTTGATCAAATCTTAGCTGTCTGAAGTGTGATTTGGACGACTTCAGACTTGTTTCCAACTAATTTGATCGTTCTGAATTCAATGGTATGGTCCGATAATTGAGATTGAGATAAAAAATGACAGTGATGAATTATTAAAGAGAGATTGCCCGATCAGGAGGCATCTGAAGGTCATCATGGTGGTCGATGGAGATGAAGAAGAAGAAATCACACATGTTTGCCCAATTACATATGTTGAACTATTATGTGGGGAAATTTTAATTGCCTTGAGGGAAGGCAAAATTGAGACACTTTAAACACCCGATCATGTGTACAATTTAAGGTGGAGAGTACTGAAGACCAATCTTGACGAATCTAAGCACTGGTAGTCTTGCCAGATGTTGAGAAATCATGTATTAAACCAGAATATTCTAGATCACTTGTAAAGGAAAGCCGTAACAAAGTTAGCAAATGGTTGTATATATAAAAAGACAGTACGATGGATAGATATAGCCTAAGAAGTTTTGGCTAGGATATTGGGTTTTAAACGGGACCAGTATGACCCCTCCAATCTTTCCTAGGAACTTGCTTAGTGGAAGGATTATCTATATGGTACTATTTTCGTATATATAACAGTTTGTAATGAAATGGTTGAAGACTAGCAATATGATGGTACAAGGGAACAATTAGGTTTCATATGTTCAAGGATCTAATTGAGTAGTGATTTCTCTAAAAAGTTAGATTCGGTGACTGTG